ACAGAAATACCAAGAAAGAATGTACATGAATCTTAGCATAAAGCAGTTAAATTCTTGGGGGTTGACGATTAAGGACAACGTCAATTAGCACGCAAGTAGTCAAAATGGTCATTCATTAATGACAATGGCTGCTGTTACATTCAAATTTAGCAATGGCAGTTAGTATGAAGTTACAAAAGGAAAATTTAAGGCATTAGATGTCTTAATTACAATTCACCCCAAGCCGATCGAATTCTTTCCCTAAGTCTCCCCCAATCCTTGCTCTGCTGAGAAGAAGCGACATTTAATTCAGCTACAAAATCGTCATCAACCTCCAGCTTTTTGTACTGCTCGACCAAAGACTTGGTTCACTCAATTCCTTGGGAAGCATTACGCTTTTTAGCAGCCATTCTCGCTCTACAATCGTCCATTTTTGCTTGAAGCTCCTTCATCTCTGCAGCCAAACTTGTCATCAGAAAGTCTTCGATCATAACTTCGGAAGATATTTCTTTCAATTTGTCTTCGGCTTTGTTAATCTCTAGAAGTAAAGGCTCTCTTTCAGATGCAGCGCGAAGATATTGAGTACTCCTGGCCTTCAGTTCAGCATTTTTGGCCAACAAAGAGAGGATGTCAGAGTGGGCAACCTTCAACGTCGCTTTAAAATCAGTAGAAATATTGAGCGACGGAAGTGTCAGTGCTTGCACCAACTTCGTACTCAATAGCTCGAGCTTATCCTTATATTTAGCAGCACTAGCCTGACCGATGTCCATGTCCGTAAAAGACACATACTCAAATATCGACTGCTTAAGGAACTTCATATCTTCCTTTGAAAAAGCAGGATGACAGGTTGAAATAGGGCGAGACGTCTTGACTTTGCCCCAGGAAGTGAACAAGTTCTAGATGGAACGCACAATATCATCAGCACCCTGCAAAGAAAAATGCCAACATTGAGGGCTTTCACTACAATAAACGAAGCGAAAATGAAAGTGAAGCGAAAGATTACCTCATCAGCAATCTTGGAAAGTGGCATATCACCAGTTGGCTCCACCACCTGTGGAGACTTTCCCTTATCTGGGCGAGAGGATTCTGCCACAATGGGCAGACCCATGGAAGCCTCTGCAGAATTCAAGAAGCAACAAATCAGAAACCAATAGCATAAGCAACGGTAAAACATCAAAAAATGTATTACCTTCTGGTTCGATGTTTGGGGGGTCGGCGCCCTGGGAAGAAGGTGACTCTTCCATTGATTGTGATGAGAGCTCCGGGACTGAGGATTTCTCTTTATGCATAGTCCCTTCATCAGCTGATTTGGACGAAGCAGTTTCAGCAGAGGATGATGGAGCAGGAGCTACCAACACCAAAGCCTTCAAAGGAGAGGCTGAAATTTTCTGAGAAATTCAAGTAAACCATTAGCGCATAAAAAGGTTTCAAGTAAACCATTAGCACATAGAAAGGTATGTTTATGAATAAACAGAATTCAATTACCTTTCTCCTAGCGATGAGGGGAGCATCATCATCATCATCATCATCATCATCCAAAGTGGGAGATGCTGAAACTAGCCGTTTGCGACTCAAGGCACTCTTAGCTGCAGTAGCTTTGGCAGGTAGAGAAGTAGATGGACGAATAGATTGTTTAGCACGAGCGGGGGAAGAAGGATTCCTAATGGACACAGGGGTGACCAAAATATGAGAAGTGGAATCCAGTGAATGGAAAGCATGATTGGCATCAATTGCAAACAATCTGCGCGTCATTGATGGCTAGAGTTGTTCAAAAAGGGGGTGGATGGCACGGCTAGAATTGAAGGGGGCTAATGAAAATTTACTCGTCAAAAGAATGTTACGAGCATCTATAGCTTGTGCGTCTGTCTTATTAATGGTGTGAAAGTGGTCTGTCAAATTTTTTGAATAGCAAGGAGGAACAGACCAAGTTTGACCAAAACCAAGTTGGCGAGGGAGCATATGTTTCAACCCCAGCTTTGGCATTGGTTCCGGTTAAAATATCATGGAACAACTCCCTCCCAGTCAAAAACTGAACCCAAACGAGCAGAGAGGCACTCGCGCTGTCCAGGGTGGATGGATGTTGCACATAATCTGGAGTCAAATGAGCAGGAAAAGGGAAGAAGGAAGGAATTGAATTTTAGGTATAAAAAAATGAAAAAATGTCCCTACTGGACATATTTACAGGGCTCGATGGGTCAATGGCTAGCCCATAACAGTTAGCAGAATGAAGAGAAACGGATGGAACACCAAGTGATGGGAAATATGCTCTCAACCACAGTTGAGTGAACTAAAGAGTCCCATTGCAAGTGGAAGATGCTCCATTCTTCAATTGAAATTGAAGAGAAACCATGCCTCTATAAAGGGCAACCAAAAAGAAGGAACACAAATTCAAAGGTCTACCACGCGCCAATTCATGCGCTATGGGTAAGTAACTCATGGAAAACTTCATACTTGGCACGTAGAGAATATATTTACATAGCCAAATCTGAAGAAAGGCCACACGCTTAGCATGAGAAAGTTTGGTGCCTGAGTGATTATAAAAGCCTTGTAGGCTTAAGTAGGACTTAGTGAGTTTCTTGTCAAATTTCGGGGCGACACCGGAAATCAAAATACCAGGGAAAATGGTATCGTTCAAAGGTGGAAGATTTACTAGGGCCCCAACATCCCTTAAAGTAATAGACATGGGACCAAGAGGGAAAACAAAAGTATTATATTCAAAAGACCAAAAACTCAAAGTAATAGGAAAAAGCACTGGGTCAAAAATTGGGGGTTGAAGAGCGATTTCTAATAAATCAGATATTCTAGCACGATCAAAAATTGTCTTGGTAGGACCATGGCCCACAAGGCGAGCATGTCATCTACGGAAAACAACGTCAGATTTAGGCCAAGTGCGAATACCTTTTTCGCGAATCGGCCTCAACGGTAAAGAATTTAGGAACGGAGGGCCTTGAGTGTAAGGGAAAAGCTGGCCCACCGCCACTTGTTCGACGACTTTGGCGTTATTAAATGATGGGCCCAGATAGAACTCATTGAGTTTGGCACTGGCTGATGCAAGAAAGTTCGGATTTACATATGGCCGAGTAAGGATTTTCTGGAAATCTTCGAAGCTAAAAGAGTCATCAGATTGGGTTTGTGGAGCTGCCATTGGAAACAAAGTACAGTCTTGACAAGGTTTACCTGGGAAACGTAGCAGAGAAGCAAGAAGATGAACAGTAAAATAGCGAGGAAGAAGCACGAAATGTAGACGTGGTCGAGTGGTGCAATGAAATGGCGTGTCTTTTTGGTTTATAAGGGTTTGTAACGTTGCACTTTTTTCAGATTGTAGAAGGAAATAATAATTGAAATTCTTGTGCATTTCAAATGTTGCCGGAAAACACAAAATGAATATGGCAAAAATTAATAATTAGTATTAATTTTGTCATATTGGGAGATAATTGTTGACACACTAAAAGTGCAGCCCAAAGAATGAAGTCCAATTGAGTAGTTCAGGATAAAGGCCCAAACAGGATTATTAATGAATGCAGTGGAAGCCCACAAACACAGTAACATCATCGCCCAAACTTGCAAGACGCCCAAGATCTGAGCGAATGGAGTGCCTTACAGTCGCCCAAAGCGATGACCCTGTTCTCGCCCATACCTTCGAATCGCCCATGATCTTAGCAAACATAAAATGTTACGGTTATCCAGAAATGCAGTTATTGAGTAATTTTATCACATTCCACGATTCAAGGAACCCAGTTGAAGGCAGTTGAACGACGAAGAGTAGTGGCAGCAGTTAGAGACGGCAGTTCCACTACAAGTTAGCCACCATAAAGAGAGTGGGTAGTTATAAAGCAAATCCAGTAGTTTCCAAACGGTTTGTCACGAAAAAATCATCAAGGGAATATAAAAGGGAGAGAAGACATAGAGGGAAAGGACCTCGAATCAAACACTCTCAAACAGAGAATATGTAATTTCAATTTTTTAGTTTAAACTTAAACATTTTTTTCTTTCAGTACTCGTGTGTTTGCGCCCCTTGGAGGCATTCTGTTTAGTTCCAAGTGTAAATCATCACCAATAAAGCACCCCTTTTTGAGATTTTGTTTCAAAAGGTTTGTTCCTTATACAATCGTCTGATCATTTTTTAATTGTTAGCAACTACCCACGCGAAACACCTACCATCTCCTAACAAAATATGTATTCATCATTTCCTTTTTTTTCTTTTTTATTTTTTGAACGGTTGACATTCTAGTAAATAAGATTGGCATAAGGTTGTAAATTTGTCTATTCCTCATGCACTTGCATATTTATTTTGTCCGATTCTATTTTTTACAGATACAATTGAAATTAATTTTCAAGACACTTGATTATTCAAGATCATGCTCTCGCCATGTAGGAACTATCTACATAGATAGATGGTAGGGCATATATTTGCTCAACAAGAAGTTTCATGACAATTATCTTCCTTTGAGATAGTTGTATAATTATTTCGATATGCACTTAATTGTCACACAAATCAATACTAAAGACTTTTCTAATACTATAATAAAAAATGACCATTTTTGTAATATTTGTAAAAAGTGACAATTCTATTATAAGGACATAGCTCTATGGCAGTTTCCCACTCCTTAGCTACTACTTTTTAAATTTTTTTGGGTAATTGAAATTTCAATGTACATGGCCTCTCCAGCATCAAGGTCTTAGTAGTCTAGTTGGAAAAATATGATTCTCAATTTCAGCGTCATTTTTTTCGAATATAACAAGATTCAAATTAGTAGATAAATGATAAATTTACACCCGCAATAATTTCCAATTTCTAAAAAACATTGAATAAAAGTAAAGTCTTGAGTTTTAAGCGAAAAACTTCTTCTTTTCGAACAAGAAAAACTATTTTATTTTGATTAAAAAACAATTTCTACTTTAGGGTGTGAATCCACACATTGCTGCCAGAAAGCAGCCAGCGCCACAGCAGCATCTGGCTGCTTTGTCCTATTTTTTTTTTTTTTTTTTTTTTTTTGGACAAATTTCTGGCTAGGGTCCTATTTTTTTTTTTTTTTTGTCATTATTGGACAGATTTCTGGCTAGGATGGTCTGTATGAATTCTGGCAACCAATTTCAGTATATGCAACAGTACATGCAACAGACTTGAATTAAAAACTATCATTACATGGAAAAGTGTAACAAATAATAGAGTGCGAATATCTCACTGGCCACTGCATACAACCTAAAAAAGAATTAAAACACTTCGTGTCTCTCTACTACAAATAAAGAATTAAAACAATGTTAAGAATATATATATATAGGATTGCTAGGCAAGCTAGTGTCCAGCTCCAGGGCTTGGGCCAAGTTCCTCAACTCCTCCAAGTGTGTGAGAATTAGTAAATTTGTTTCCTTCACCAGAATACTTGGTTCCTCCAACTGTTTGAGAATTAGTGAATTTGTGTCCCACACCAGGGCTCGGACCAGATTTCTTATTTCCTCCAAGCGTTTGAACCTTGGACAACTTACGGCTGTCACCAAGGCTTGGACCAGATATTTTAATCCCTCCAAGTGTTTTCGCATTGGTAAACTTGTGTCCTTCACCAGGACTCGGACCGGCCTTCACAGCATTCAAGGACAAAGTATAAATCGAGGCACCATTAAGAGGACGGGCCTCGATTGCAAACATGACCGAAGAAAACAGCATGAGGACAACGATGGAGAAATTAATAAATGATTTCATTTCTCTAATAAGAAATATACCCACACAAGAACAGTAGAGAGGAAAAGTGAAAGTTGGGGACGTATGGAGGATTTGGAAACTGATTTATACTGTAAATTTCTTGACTAACAAGGGAGGAAAAGACTGCTATTTTGCAATACCATTCAAAGAGAACGTGAGAATTGAAATATTTAGAATGGGAATGGAATGCATTTCTTAAGGAACTTGCATGTCAGGTTCATAAGCAAAGAAATTAAGAGATTACCAGTCTAAATTGGATTGCATTTCTTTCTAATTCAGATCTCATAAGGTCTGCATGCGTAATGGAAATTCTTATTTTTCGTCTAGTTCAAGTCTATTATTAGGACCACGAGAATGCACATATATGTTTGAATTCAAATTAGGTATTGAAATTGAAAAATCTATATATATTTCCTGCGCTGGTCAATTGTCACGAGTGTAATAATTCCGGGCATCCAAGAAATTAATTTTTTTTTATTTCACCATTCCAACTGTCATTTTTGAATTCCTCACTCACAGGTGTAATTCACTTTTCTCTCAAACGGTAAAAAAATCAATCATCATAATCACTACCGAATAAACCCTTTTAGTACAAGAATTAGCGAGCGAATTTTTTAGAAGAATTTATAAACAGTTTCATCTATAAAAATTTCTTCTAAGTAATTGAGTGTAATAGTATTCTGTCTTTTAAATTAGTTTGCTTCATTTTCTAGTTGACTGCCAACAGGTCCAAGTCCCCGAGGTGAATGCCATGAGTTGTAAAGCAGCCTAAACTCTCCAAAAAATTCAAGAGGAAAATTACACGGTCAAGAATAAATTTTAACATAAAGAAAAAAACATATCTTTAACTAATAATTTATTATGGTCAAATTATTTGAAAATCTATTTGTATATTATGGTAGACTAGACCCCTCCAGAAGTCATACTCAATAGCAACTAGGTTGAATTATTTACAAATGTTTGTGACATGTGCTCTATTTGCATTATTGGATGTTGTATAGTATTTGATCTTAAATTAGTAGTAAGCATGTGTATTGCACGTCTTATATATCGGACCAATGATATGCATAATGTTGTTTAAGTACTAATAATATTTTTGAAAGTAAATGTAATTGATATTGCTAAAGAAAAATTTAAATTGTTAAAAAATATATATATATGAATAATAACTTTTACGAAATTATGTATATAATGTGAGAGGTTGAATAAATTGAAATGTAATATTTTCATTATAATAATATTTCGAAACTCCTCTTGAATTCCACACAAAAGATAAAAAATGAAAATCAATTATCAAATGAAATTAACAAGAAAAAAGAAAAAAAAAAAAGAAAAAAAAAGAACATACTTGAGGATGAAGGACTAAAATTATCAAATGTCGAATTGAATTAACAATAACCAAGCATGTTTACAAATTACTAAACTCTACCAATTCTATAAATAACTAGCATATTTATATTCATAAAAATTAAATTTTTATCATTTGTGCTTTATTTTGAATGACAACTTTAAATACACTATAAAATTCTTACTTTAAAATAACAAAGTTCTTATCTGATCCGTTTGAACATAAATATGTCAAATTAAAAAGTAAAATATGTATACATGCAAATATTAAAATGCAAAAATCCATGTATAATTTATATTCATTAAATATATCCGAAATCACAAAATATAAAAATTTATTCCTCATTTAATTTGTCGAAAGTAATGATACATTTAATCTCTTGCTTTGGTTTATCTAAATTGAAGTAACATATTTGATTCGTTTCAATTCAATCGGATTTTATTCTGTATCATTGACGACATGCATCTTTTTTCTGATAATTTTGTGAAAGTCGAAATGAGATGATAATAAAAGGCTATAAAAAGATTAATTTGTATGAACTTAAAATCAAAAGCTAGTTTTCTAAACATACTTTGCATATTTGTAATTTAAACAAAGTTATTGAGTCCAATTTAAGATCTTTTAGTATTTAATAATGTTAATATTTTTAGTAATATCTATATATAATATAACTCTAATAAGTATGTGTAAAGAAGATGTCGATTCTTGATTCGGTGGTTAAACTCATAGTTAAGTGAGTTGTAATTGGTTGGAGCCTCAGAATTGTAACAGAATTACTGTTATTAGTTGTAACAGAATCATCTATTCATTGCTTGTAAATCTCTTTGGTCCTGTGTCTATAAATAGGACTAGGAGTTGATAGTAGGTGTGAGGGGGTTCATATTCTGTTCAAGACAAAGTAAGATAGTGAGAGAGAGTTCTCTGTACAAAATTTTGGAAAAGTTCCCGTGAGTTTTTCTGAAGAAGCTCGGTTGAGTGGTGAGTGCTGATGATTTGTATAAAGCCACCACTGTGTAATATCTTCTTATTTGGTAGATGGATTGGGGATTAATTCCCTGCCTTGGTTGAAGAATTTTGATCCACAACAAGAAACTCGTGTGTTCATAATCTTGTTTCTTTCCTTGGTTTATATTTTATCGTTTTCTTTTCGAGTATGCAAGTCTATTTGTCATTGTTGAAGAGAGGAAAAATCTTAACAGTATGAATGATACTCATAGTTTTTAGTATATCGTATAACACTATTTTAACATAACACCATTAAAATTTAAAATATACACTTTTTAGTATGATAATATCACTGATGTTCTATTATTATAATTGATAGGACATAAAACTTTGACTATTTGAATATGCAATTAAATGATTTACACAATCAAATTTTAACTGTAATTTTGTGTCAAAACCAAATATTCAAAGAAAAAAAGAAGTTGGAAGGCTGTGCATTCAAGAGCATACTTAATGATTAATAATCATACTTAGTGAATTAATTAGATGTTTCCATGAATTAAATGTAACAATACTTAGTGAATGTAAATTACAGGAATGACTATAATCAATAAAATTAATTATTCAAAAAATTATAAAATATTATATGGAAATGTGTATTGAATCAAACTTGTAAGAGGTTAAAAATTTTGAGAATATGATCACTCGAAATTTGGGAGAATCTAATTTTAGATTTTGATGATTTTTTCTCCTATCCAATATTTAAGTGAAAAAAAAAAAAGGCAAATTCCAATAAACACCAAACTGCTTTCCACCAAACAGCTCATACATAAATTTCTTGCAAGCGAAAATAGGGCATTAGAATTTTCAATACTTCAAAACTAACATTTGCACACTGTACAGTTGTTACAATAGGGAGAAAAACATGTCCATTAATCAATGAATATTATAAAGACAAAATATATAAAATTCAAGTTGAGTAAACGAAGATTTTTATTTTATTTTATTTTTTATTGAATTGGGTAACTGGTTGCAAGTAAAATTCGGTTAAAAAATAGAGTATTTTTTAAAAATAAAATCAAAACTAACTATCCAATATAATAAGCCTTCACATAATTCACATTACTGAAAAGTTCATCAAAAAAATAATAATAATGAATAATAAAAAATAAATCTATGATTGATTGTTGTGCCCCATAAAAACAAGATTGACCATCATTTAATTTCGATCGAAAGAGACAACATTTGGATTTTCCATCATCATAAAAATAATATAATTTTGATTAATAAATTGATAATTAGTTACTAACAAATTACTCATCTACAATTAATAAATGAAAGTAAGATAGAAAAAAAAAATTACAGACACATACTCAATATGAGTGATGGATTACGGATGGTAAATTCATAATTGAGACTTGAAAAATATGAGAGTTTTCAAATAGTTTTTCTCATTTATTTCCTTCATTTGGTATAAAACTCTTATTGTAAAATATCAATTCAAAGCAAATTATTTATATTATAGACAATGAAATGTTCTATAATTATGTATTTGATTAATAAAAGATTTAGAAATAGTAATTATGGATTGAATTTATTATTTTCAATAGAATTTTTTTTAGAAATGCAGTTCCACTAATATGTATTAGTGTATTATTAGTTTGAAAAAAAATTTAATTGTGCAAGTAGCTTTAATTTTTTTTTATAAATTCTATATATTAATATTAATAAAATATGCCATATATATATTAATGTTTTTATTAATTATGTACTCATAATTAGTAATAATTGTGTTTAGTGAAAATTAATTGAATTAATTTTTGAAAGCAATAATAATTATTAATTATCTTATTTAGAAGAAATAAATTGATTATTAAGTGCATTGTTCATCATAAATATAAAAAATAATAAATGATATCAGTTTTACTAATAATTGAATTTAGTTAAAATAAGGTATTATTGACCATAAACAACAACAAAATTTAAGGATAAACTGAAAAATTAAAGATATAAGGATAAATGAGGATATATTAGACTTATAGCTAAATGTGTAAAGATAAAATTGGTAACCAAAAGTTTCTATTCAATTTTCACTTTAAATATATTTTAGAGTGTAATAAAGGTAGAAATACTACTCACCCGTGAACTCTCTCTCTTCTTCATTTTTTTTTTTTTTAAAGTTGATTATTATTATTATTTTTGTCTTCATGCTTCAATTTGATTATTGACTTCAAATTCACTGTAATTGGATCATTTAGCTCGTATTTATTTGTTTTACTTCGCCCCGCCTACTCGCTGGTTGGTGGGATTATGCTGAACTAGTTCACGTCCCACTCGTCGCCTACCATTTTTCTCTTTTCTGAGAAAAAAATTATAATGACAATTAACTGTTTTTCCGATGGTCAAAATAAAAATTAAACAGCTTAGTCAGAACATTTCAATTAAACACGCTCAAATAAACATCCCTTTATTTTATTGTTGAAGATGCAAAAAGAGACGACAGTACCAGAATGTAAGAAAGCAGCACTTACCCTTCTAAGCTAAAGAAGCAAAGATGAAAACAAGTTTCTAATCAGCTATCATCTGGCTTCATCGACTTTCAATTGGGAGAACACTTCATTAGGATTTGCTTGGCTAGCATCTGAGAAACTATACGACAGGAGGGAAAGTTCATCTTCTCTGCAAGGAATGCTTTGAGAAGGTAGTCGTTCAACAACAGGCATAGGCAACTCCCAAGTAACTTCTGTGGTGCTGTCTTCATATGGTTCTCGAGGCACTGCAGTGTGTTGAAGCCGTAAAGCGTATTCTAAGTCCCACAAGACGTCGACCATATTAGGCCTATCGACTCCACATTCTTGCAAACACCTTTCTACTGTATCCCCAAATTTCCTTAGCGAGTTGGGATTAATTTTTCCCACAAGCAAAGGATCCACAATTTTCTCTAGCTGTCCCTGCTTTTGCCAGGATATTCCCCAATCAGCCAAGTTGATTTGCTCCCGTGGAAGCAAGTTGTTTATGACAGGTCTTGCACAAAGTACTTCAAGAAGTACCACACCAAAAGAGTACACGTCGGATTTTTGTGTGATTTCTAAGCATCTGCAGTACTCGGGATCAAGATATCCAAAGCTGCCTTTGACATCAGTAATTACATGAGTTTGATCCAGAGGACCTGATCGCGAAAGGCCAAAATCAGCAACTTTAGCCACATAGTTTTCATCAAGCAAGATGTTTGTCGATTTGATATCCCTATGGATGATTGCCCCATTAGAACCAGTGTGAAGGTAGTGAATACCTTTTGCTGCACCAATGCAAATTTCAAGCCTTTGACTCCAAGATAATTGAGAAGGCGAAGTGGATTTCTCCGAGTCGCCCCTCAAAATGTACAGATGATCTCTTAAAGTACCTTTTTCCATAAACTCATAAACAAGTATCATTTCAGACCTTTCTTCACAATATCCAATCAACGAAACGAGATGCCGGTGGCGAATTTTGGATAAAATCATTATTTCAGTATGAAACTCGGGAAGGCCCTGTCCACTTCCTGGCTCACTTCTTTTTATAGCCACTTTTTTACCATCCCGAAGTATTCCCTTGTAAACTTTCCCAAAACCCCCCTCACCAATCATCAATTTGGAGTCGAAATTTTTTGTGGCGTAGACAATGTCAGACAAAGACACCTTCAAACCGAGGTTTAAATCAGCAAGAGGGACTCCATTAACAGTTCTATCAGTTGTCTTACTATGCGAATTCCCCCCATGGAGATATCCCAATGGCAAATCAAAACTCTCAGCAGGCTTCGTTTTTCTCCGTTTCAAAACAATATATAACATCCCTATAAAGATGAAAATTAACACTGTACCTCCCATACATGAACCAATGATTATAAACGAACTTTTTTTTGTATCTTCCTCTGGAGCCGAACCCAAGTCCTTGACAAACTCCATGATTTCAACTCCATTTAGAAAGGATTTTTCATTACTTGGATCACTTGGAGGCCCAATACTTATTTTCATTAAACCAGAATCATCCGAATCAACTACAATATCAACGAGGAAAGGAGTGGCAATATTGTTACCAGTACGATTAAATGGACTTATTTCGATACTGAAATTACCATAGATATAGAGATTGAATTTGAGGCCTTCGTTTGAGGTTTGGCTAAAAATGTCACAGAAATGCACCCGAACAAAGTGTGTAGCTCTTTTCTTCACACCGAAATTCCACGAAATGTTGAAATTATTGTTTGGCCTACTTTCATTTGTGTTCATTATTTTGGCAGTCTTGTAAACAGGATCAGGGGCATCAAACCGGGTGGCCTCTCCACGCAGGTAGTTTATAGGGCTATCTGTAGAAAAATTGTTAATTGCCGAATCCTTGTTGAACAAATAAGCATCATCAGGTATCCACCTCCTCAACAAGGTGTCATTATCCGGCGTAATATTTGATCCACCAAAGTTAATTCTATGGATTAGACGTAAGGGGCTAGACAACAGACTCTTGTAGTCTGTCGTGTTTCCTTCTGGAGTTATATATGATTCAGAATCACGAAAGAACTCAAATGGGCTAAGAAAAAATTCAATTGCATTGACAAAAGCAAAAGAATTCTGGGGTAAGAAATGAATTCTGAACTTTCCAGAGGTATTAATTTTGAGGAAGAACTCTTTGATGATCGGTAAACTACTGCCGTTTTTGACACTGAAATTCGATAAAAGAGAAAACCCAGAAGCCGACACATTGAAATGAGCATCGAAGAGATTTTCCTGCGAAGAAAAGGGAAAGAAATGGAAACGTACCATATAGGTGCCATTTTGGACTTCGTCTAGCTCGTACCAAGATGGTTTCTTGAAAATCCTGGCACTTTCATAGAGATCGCCAAGTGAAGTAGGGTCTCTAATTGTGCTGATTTTGTGGGAAGACACGGTGAAAGTGCTGGGATTTTCATCGCCGATGAATAAAGTCTTATCGGCGAACTTGAAGCTAGAAGCTGAACCACAGTTGATGAAGTACTTTTCAGGTAAAACATAATCCGAGGCCAGAGAGAAAATAAAAGAAAAGAGAAAGAGGAACAGCAGAAAAAGAGCAATAGAAATCTTGTTGAACAGAAAAATTTCCATAGATAAAATATTTTTGGTGGAGAATGTGTTTACTGATAGGATATGATATGCAGGGATGAATAAACGACAATAAAGACAGTACATGTAAGAAAACGGGTGTGGGACCAAGTTGACTTGACGTTGACTTCTTGTTGTTTGTTTCAGGCCTAGTCATTTTCTTCAAAATGTATTTTCCTTTCTTTTCTTTTTAACAACACATTCTTTATTAAAATAATATTACACGTAAATAAAATTTTTTTCCAAAATGAGAATAAATGAGGAATTTTTTATTTTTTATTTTTTAACATCCAGTAGTACTTTTTGCTCGTTCACGTTGGAATGTTTTAGCTCAGAGAATCAGAATAATACTTTAATTTACTTCCACCTTTGTCTTTGGTGCATTGGTTTAATGACAATATCCACTTATTTTCATCAAGAATACAAATGCATCCATATTTTATGACTATATCTAAATCTGTGAGTGTAAGTCGACTCTACCGAAGTTATGCTTCTTAAACATAATGAGTAATTTGAGATAGACTATGTTATTTGAAATTATTTGACTCTTATGTAAATCAAGTTAATATGTTCCGTTTTACTTTAGAATGTGATTAAGTTAGCGATTCACGGCGTTATGTGAAAAATAGGAATCCTTCTCAAAATTTAGCTTCCCGTATTCAAATGTTATTCAAGATACGGTTTAATCTTTACTCCTAAGCATTGTTTAAAATACTTTTTGCGGCTTTCATAGCAAATTCTACCTCATGCGAGGCTTTTATAAAATGCCTCAAAGCTAAAACCTTGAGGCACATTCGTGAGGCTTACACCTCGAGGGGAATAGAATATGTGCTTGTTTGTCTTGTATTTTCTTGATATTTTGTTATTGATCTTAGCATTTTTGGACATTTCTTTATAATCTAAAATATTTTATGATTTTATTTTTTTTAAATTTTCTTTTCTGTCTCTTAGGGGATGGAGAATACACCATGATGGGTTGTGAAGGATATGACAAAGAACGAGAAGCAGCTAAGAGTGATGAAGTGGAAGACTTTGCTAATTTCCTAAAAATCCTATTTTACCTTTGTTTCATGATTACTAACTCGAGAACTTATTATTTGAGATGATATATAATTTATTATAATCATATTTTTGCATTTTTACAGCACTTTGAATATTTTATTAATTTTTCTAGAGACCTGCGTATCGCCTCACAAAGAAAAAAGATGCCTCGATCAGCACATGACGGAGCATTTTCAAATTATGCCTTTTCTATTCACTTCAAGGGATGGGATCCCACTGTGCACATTGGAGAGAATTTAATGTTGAAAATGCATTTATCATCATCCTCCATTTTAGTTTTTGGGTTCTAAAAAAGATTAAGAAGTTTTATTTTAGATGATTAAATCACAAATTTCAACTAGAGTTCAATACATACTAGAAAGGTTCCATTTAACATTATAATACTTGTGATGAGGCTTACCTTTTTTAACTAGATGTACTGTTGTTCCCAACATATTAAATTAAATGTTAAATGACAATGACTATATTAAAAATATTTATGCTCAACAAATATCTGAAATATGCAACAACGAAAAGAGCGTCGTGAAATCATAAATGTGTATAAAACGCTTATCGTGCCATTAAACTTGATAATTATTGTTAATTTGATGGATTTCTACATAACTGTATTGTAAATATGATATTTACTGAAGACAAAACTCAGACTTGGATGTATTTGTAGCGAAAATGGAAGGTTTTTGAGTTTTAATTGGAGTTGATTCTAATCAATATAAGGCTAATTAAAATGTATGTGATTGATTAGAAGTATTGAGAGAGCAGTCAAATGAAATGCACAACTATTGAGTGAAATTTAATATTTTAAAAAATTGGAGACTAAGTTTTACAATTTCAAAACCTTCAGAAGACTAATTTCGAATTATTAGAGAAGTTTTGGAGACCAACAAGTTAGTGATCAATGAAATATTTATGGCATCATGATAAGGGTAAGGCAGCATAGTCGGTCATGTGGCGAGGCAATGAGGCTTGTGCTTCAGGCCCAAAATCGGAGGGGACCTCATTTTTTGTCCAAGATTTTTTTTAATATTAAATGAAGTAAAAGGAAATATGTTTTTCATTCCTTTTTCTATCCTGCGACTGCTCCCTATCTATTTTATCTATCTAAACAATCCTCACTAACCATTTTTCCATCCAAAGCCCACCAAAAGTACAATCCTGTTGGTTATATTTATCTCTCATTCTTGAAATTTCAGCATGTCAAAATGCAGATATTGATGGCGTCAATATTGGTGAGAGGCCATGGCTTTGAATTTTCTTTCCCCAACTGAAATCATGTTTCCCTTTTTTCTTGGACACTTCTAAATCTTCTTACAACCTTAATCTCCTCAAAAACCAAGGTAAATCCCACCCCCACAAATCTCTTTCTTTATGACAATTTCGGTCT